CTCTGCTGGTTGAAAACCACACTTAACAGTTTTGCGGAGCATATAGGTGTCCTAGGGGGAGCTCTTTGCCTGCTTTATGGCTGTTAGCTGTAATGCTAGCGGACAACATTTTCAGTTCAGCTTATCGTCAATAATCACAAGAAGAAAAAAAGTTTGCCTTTCTGTTAGCATCATGGCGGAGACTGGAAGTGAAAGCAAGAGAGTAATGTCTTTGACGGTGAAACAAAGAGCTAAGACCAGAGTGAACATTGGCACAGTGAGGAAGCTAAAGGAGGCTACAAAAATCACAGACTGATAGTGACCTTACTTGATCGCTACTGGACTTGTAAGTAATAATTTTTTGGTCCAAAAGTGTGGATCTTTTTTTAGTTAATTTTCTTTTAGTATCAGTTGGTTCATGTTTGTGTTTTTGTTGTTAGCACTAGCTGCAGCAGGGTTGTTTACGGCAATTGTAATTCCACTTTCAACCTGTAGGGTGCAGAAGCAGGAAACTTCTTAAGGTCATCGAGGTTTGTTAACTTGATTTACCAAAATCCCATTGTTTTCTTCTGAGTTGTTTCTCTGTTTTTAGCTAAATTTGTCCCTGATGTGTTGTAACCCAAATTCACAGCTCACTTGTTTGAATGTTTCGGAAAACCCATTAGCCAAATCTAAATCCTGTCAGGAAATATCTGATTACTGAGCTTTTTACAGTTTAACAGACAACTAAACAGATGAGTTTGGGAAAACTTAAGATTTTCTCGAGCACCAAGAACATCAAGTTCAAAACTATTATTTCTGATGGCACAGAGCAGAGTTTTACTGCCACAAAAAGCCTAAGTTGTTACACATCTACACCTAACTCATTTATTTTAATCAAGTTCACCTCCGTATCTAAATCCATGAGCTTAAACAGTCATTATACTCCATCCTGTGAGGATATATTTCCATTCCCTGCCATCTCATTCTCTCCCAGCGTTCCTTATAAAAGCCTGAAATGAGGAATGAACAAAGTGGACACATGTTTCCCAGCGCTAGCAGCTCCAGAGTTCTGGAGAGTTTAAAGTTAACAATATTAAGACCTAAGGTTATTTTATTATGACAGATTTAACTGGAGTTTGAAGGTTTTCCTCATATTTCCACCCTCAGATGCAGTTTATCCTGTTTAACAAGATTAAAGATTTGTGTTGACCACATTGAGGGTCTGAGATGGTCTTAATTGGACAGTGGACATGGTATTTCTTAGAATTCAGCTCCAGAACCAGGTCCAAATGCCCACCAGTAACCATTTAAACATCTTAAGCTGACTGAATAAGTGTTTTCTTATGCCACGGTGCCAAGAAAAATGTCACATGTTCATTTTCCTTAAACACAAACTCTTTGAAGCGTCTGACCACCTTGTTTGAGCTCTCTCCGTTTAATGGTCTGCCTTTAGGTTCAGTTAAGCCTCTTTAAACCCGCAGAGGTCGGAACAATTACTGAATCCTGTTTCGGAGAAATGTTTTTTAAATGTGGCCGACTCTCTGAGTCTGCAGACACACCTGGGCTCTGAAACGGCCGGTCGGATACTTAGTTTTGACGGCCTAGAGAAAAGACAAAGTCACAGAGAATATCAACTCCAAACGAAAGGTTTTCAACAAGCAATGGTCTGCATGTCAAAGCGCCACTCAGACAGGATGTTTTAAAATCCCAGTGACAGTTTCAGGGAAAGGAAGAACATCCCTGAGGAAGGATTTAATCAGTTAGGAGTTATAAACTAAACACTCACTTTATTTAAGCTAAATAAATTAAAGTAACACTAGACAGTTTTGTGCTTCTCCGCTCTACTGGTTGAAAGTGGAATTACAACAGTTGTAAACAACACTACTGTAGCTAGCAATAACAACAAGCTAACACTTACAAAAGCCAACTAATACAAAAAAACATTAAGTTAAAAGACCCACACAGTTTGGCAAAAAATATTATTACTTACAAGTCCAGTAGCAACAAAGCCAGGTCACCATCAGTCTGTGATTTTGTAGCCTCCTTTAGCTTCCTCAAACTAGAGTAGACTGATTTTGGCTCTTTGTTTCCCCTCTAAAGACATTACTCTCTTATTTTTACTTCCGGGCTGCACCATGATGCCAACAGAAAACACTTCTTTTTTTACTTTCTTCTTGTGCTTTTTTTTTGATGATCAGCAAACTGAAAATGCTAACGGATAGCACTACAGCTAACAGTCATAAAGCAGGTAAAGTGCTCCCCCTATAGAACACCTACCCATTCCAAAAAGTACCTAGTGTGGTTTTTGGCCAGCAGAGGGCTGCGGAGTGGTGTCAGATAAGAAACTGGTCGAGTTTCTAACTCAACTATCAGTGAAATCAATGTTAAAGCTCTAGCTTAAAGTTTAAAAATCTATCTAGTGTTACTTTAAAATGTGTATAACATACATATATTTTAGGTTTAATTTCTTCGTATAGAGCAACCTTCATTATTTAATACAACTGTATCTAATTTTCTAAAATCTCTACCTCTTTAACAGGATTAGTACATTCCTCTGAACCTACACTAATTCCTGTACGTGGCCCTGTAGTGGATGATATAGGTACTGTAGGTTGAATGTATTTGATGTAGATTGTTGTCTGGGTTTTGCCATTTTATTGCATAATAAACTATAATAACATCATGCACTATAAAACCTTATTCTGTTCATCTTAGACTTTTTTATTCAGGGAAACCTAGTTTCTGTCATGGTCTGCCTCTGCGTCTTTCCCCATGTGTCTCCTTATGTTCTCCATCCCGCTCTAGATTCCCCTTTTGTGTCTCATAGCGCCCTCATGTGTCCTTTGTCTGCATCTCATTTATGTGTCTTCTGTTTGTAGCCCTTCAGGTCATCCCCAGCCCCTCCAGTTGTAGCTCCAGCCTTTTTGTCCCCAGCTCCCTCCTGGTTTTCTTCATGTTCTCTTGGTCTCCCCACCATATTTCTATAGGTCTATTATTTCAGTTTTGTGTTTGTGTGTATGTCCTTCTCAGCTAGGTGTGTGTGTGTGTGTGTGTGTGTGCGTGTGTGTGTGTGTGTGTGTGTGTGTGTGTGTGTGTGTGTGTGTGTGTTTGTGTGTCCTTCCCCAGTCAGGTCCGGTGTCCTTTCCTGCTCCTCCTCCCTGATTAGTTATTGCCTTCACCTGGTTCTCTCCCCACACACCTGCAGCTCATCTGCCTCCCATTATGCCCCAGTCTATAAAGCCCTGTCTGTTTCTCATTGTCTTGTCGGTCCATTGTATTTGTCAGTGTTGTTTTGGTGCTCTGTGTGAGCTTCCTGTCCCGTCCCCAGTTTGTGCTCTAAGTGAGCTTTGTTCTCATTTTCTGGATTTTTGGATTTTGACTCCCTGCCTTTTGGAATTATTTTTGTTTCATCCTACAATAAAAAGATTTTACTTTATTTCAACTCCTGCTTCGTGTCATCCTGGGTTACTGCATTTTGGGTCCAAACCATCCTCGCAACGTGACAGTGTCAATTTTAACATCTTTTTACCTGTTTATCTAATGCATTTGTTAAAATAGAGCAATTAATTGTTAGAATGTTTTTATTTCACGCTTGTGAAGAGCTATCAAAATACACACATAACATGTATTATAATATAATATAATATAATATAATATAATATAATATAGCCCTGCGATGGACTGGCTCTCTGTCCAGGGTGTACCCCGCCTGATTGCCCGTTGATCATTGGAGACAGGTACCATCCCCCCCGACCCTGCGTGGACAAGCGGGTTCAGAAAATGGATGGATGATAATATAATATAATATAATATAATATAATATAATATAATATAATATAATATAATATAATATAATATAATGGGGCAGCAGTAGCTCAGGTGGTAGAGCGGATTGCCTCATGATCGGAGGGTCATGGTTTCGATTCCAGCTCCCGCCAGGGGTATCCTGCTGTTTTGTCCTTGGGCAAGACACTTCACCCAACTTGCCTGTGTTAGTGGTGGTCAGAGGGGCTGACGGCACCAAATGGCAGCCTCGCCTCTGTCAGACCTCCCCAGGGCGGCTGTGGCTACAAGTAGCTTACCATCACTAGCAGTGTGTGAATGTGAGAGTGTGTGAAAGCATCTTTGGGTGTCTAGAAAAGCGCTATATAAGTTCAATGCATTATTATTGTTATTATTATTACTATTATTATTATAATATAATATAATATAATATAATATAATATAATATAATATAATATAATAATATTCATTATGTGATTTTTCGGGTCCCAAGTCTTTATGGGTTTATTTTGTGGGTCAGAACCAGACTCTTATGAGAATAAATTATTGCTGTAGATTTCCAAAACTTGATGCTTAAAATCTGATGTAAATTCTGATAAATGTGTTAATTTACATAGGCACATAAAATATCAGCTACCAAATTCGAGTCACAGGTAAATTAAAATTTTAGGCTATTATATCTGATTCTGATGCTGAAATGTTGTAAATCTGTCTGGAAAGTTCATTTATAACATCACCGTGTTCTTTCTGTGGAAATAACCTAAGTTTGCAGAAGAAGCCTGGTATCATTTTCTTGTAGAAACTTCACATTTCCTGCAAAAATCATTCAGAAAATTCTGATGACACTCCTCTTTCCTCCAGAGGACTCAAATGTAAACATTACTCAGATTGTTGTGAGGGAACCTCATCAGGGGGACCAAAGAGCCTCACGTGGCTCCAGAGCCACAGGTTGGAGACCCCTGACTCAGAGTGACGATTAAAATCACTGGACCAACGGGCGTGTCCTCAAATGTGTAATCATGTCTGGATTGGACCCTCACCAAGGCGTAGCCAATCAGCTTTACACAATCAGCAACCAGAGCCAATCAGCATCAGGCGGGCAGGTGGCGTAACCAATTAGAGTCAGGAGACGAGGAGCGCAGCTGCAGATGGAGGTCGTTTTACTTCTCTAATTTCAACATGGCCCACCACAGAAGGGTGGAAGTGAACAATAATGGTATTGTTGGTCATCAACACACCATTCTTCTCCTCCACAGAGGCTCCCCCGCGAGGAGCTCTACATGCCGCCGATTGTCATCAAAGTCATTGACAACCGCCAGTTTGGGAGGAAGCCGGTGGTTGGTCAGTGCACCATCCGTTCGCTGGAGGAGTACCGCAGCACTCGCGAGGAGGAGGAGCATGCTCAGGAGGAAGAGGAGGTGGAGGAGGAGAATGGATGGAGACGTAAGCGACAGGAACTCCAAAGGGATGGTTAGAGGTGAAAACATCTCATGTTGGTGTCTTTGTGTGTTCAGGTGAGACGCCCCAGGGAACTTCTGGAGAGGTCTTTATTGACATCGATGACGAGGAGCCGCTTGTCCAAGATCAGGTAAAACCACCCTGACGATGTCCTGACCTCCACTTTTACCAATACAATAAAAAAACCTGGCTGTATGCACGGAGGGCACAGGGATACCTCCCACAGACAATCCAAATGTAAACCTAGCACCTGATGAGCTCCAGACCGTGTTTACTGGATGTTTCAGAAAAAAATACTCAAACATCCACTTCTTTATATTTATATTGCTTCATGTCGTTTATCCCTTTGATGCATAATGGTCACTACAGTGGACAAGTACTCAAATTTTTATTATTATTATTTTTTTTGCTATTAAACACAGCTGTTGAAGGCTTTTATTGCATTTGAGCCCCTCCATTTGGACTTCAGTAAGTCAAGCCAACATATTTCATGTTCAGGACGCTGTCCACTGAGGTGGACATGTAATAAATTATTAGTAAATTATTAACTGTTACAACAAATATTTGTTGAAATTTGTTTCATTCACACCTAAAGATGAATAAAAACAACTGTTAAAAAATCATGGTTGAAGATTTCATAATTCATGCATCAAAGGGATCTTCTTTTTTTTTAAACTTTGAACTGTGTTCCTCTGGATAGAAATCAGGAAATGCAGTCTGGCAGGTCGTGGAAAAAGCTCTGCGTTAATGTTCCGAGGATAAAGGATTTGATGCTAATGAGCTTCAGCACAGAAAACCACTGAACTGGTCCCTTGAGTGTCTGATGAAGAAACGTTTAGAGACGGGGAATCGGTGGAGGGCATTCGAGTTTTGGGGAAAAAATTCCAAACTCGTGATTTCTGTTGACCTCATTTTTGTAAGGAAAATAACTCAGGACTTCTGTTCTGGATCCTCAAACTCTTTTTTCCTCAACGTTTACAGCTTTTGTTCTTTTGTTTGTATCACATCATCCTCTCTTTCCTGTCCTTTCTTTAGTTTTTCCAGTATAATCGCACCTCCCTCTTCTTAAACTCCTTTAGCCAATGTAAGCCAATTTCTGACTGTTGGTGACAAGGTGGAGGCAAAATTCAGAGAAATTATGCAAACATTTGACAAAAATATTTTGTTTTCTACTGATAATTTTCATGATTTTATCGTTTTTTTGTAACTTACTGATCAGTGCAACCACACCATTATGCCATGTAAAATATGTATACACCGTAGCATCATTTACACATTAAACAGGCTAAAGTGAGTTATGTACATTAACAACATTCACCGTTACAGAAATACTTCACAAAATCACACTATTCATATTTAATCATTGATATTGTGTGTAAAAATGGAACAAATTGTGCCTTGCTATTTATTGTAACACAAGACAGCGCATATTAGCATTAGCTGCTACAGCTAATTGTCAAGCTAACAGTAGACATGAATCGATACATGCCCCATTGGGCGCTGAGAATTGTCACAGCATCACCACCATATTAGATGGGTTCCTAACTCTTCAAACCCAACTGGAGTCAACACAGAGTGAAACAACTGGGGTACTGTTGAAAGCAGATCACATGGAACTTTTCTGGGACATTTTTAGCCTACATGTTGGATTTTATATTTTAATTTATTTTATTTACCCCCCCCCCCCAAAAAAAAAACAATCAATGATGAACAAGAGTCTGCTTCTAGACCTGCAGAAAAGGGTCACATAACAATACAACAGGAGCAAGCAAGCTATCACTGCATCATCTTGGTGAAGAAATATAAAATCAACACTGTTTTACTGAACAATCACACGATAATAAATCATAGTGCATTTAGTGGCAACGACAGCCTTAAGACAAGTGTTGAACCTGCCCAAGCCCATACTTTTGAGAGCACCATGTGAGCACCTGTGTGTGTACACGCGCTTGTATATGTAAAGTTTCTCTATAGGAGCATCCAATAGAGAGTGTGAGGGGCCACAGATCTGCCCCTCAAAGATGCGTAGGAGATGAAAGGAGCTCTAAGTCCCAGAGATCCAGGAGCTGCCCCAGAGCACAGAGGCCCCAAGGAGACCGCGACCAGAAAAGCCCCTGCCCCCCTTGAGAGGCGCAGAGGATCGCCTCGGGGGGCCACAACCAGCAGCCGGCAGAGTCCGGGAGATATCAGTGGCAAGCCCACAGGCCCGCCCGCAGCCTCCCACCCCCCAGCCGGCCGAGCCCAGGACCCAGCAACCCGGGACCCAGGGGCGACCACCCCCGCCGTGGAACCAGCAGAGCCCAGGGACCCAGATCCCACCAGGCAGCCACCAGGATTCATCAGGCAGATGCCAAAAATCTTAGTTGCTTTACATTTAAACTAGAAATTAGCCCCCGAAGTACCTGCCGGCTCGTGATCCACCATCCTTTTGAAAATACCTCGCTGTATTCTGGAAAATGTTTGACCAAGAGAAGGCAACAAGGCACCTTGCATGTATCCTTGCTCAGCTAGCTAAACGGCTAACAAACAGAGGATAGATCTCGGTAGCATATGAACATTGGAATCGACTGGAACACGCCTAGGCGGTTCCTGATGACGTATCCCCTAGGCAACCGGGGTGGGACCAAGGCATCAAGGCGAGGTTCTTTAACATTAAGAAACACCCAGGGTTAATTCTCAGTCTCTCTGACAGAACATCGGTTGCTAGGATCTCTCTGTTTTGGCAAGTCCTTTGTTATCTAATATGATGTTGCCCACTTCTAGTTTCAATGTGGGATGATTTGGTAAGAAGTTTTAAATTTGGTCAAATCACATGGGGTACATTATGTAATATTAATAATTAGACATTTTTACACTTTGTCTTGCCAAATTCCTTGTTGTTATAATATGTATGCAAACTTTTTCTACATTCCATTGTTAGTTCATTGAAAGTTTTTAATCTCCTTTACATTATCTCTTTCTCCATGTTTCCCTGTTTAATTTGTGAATTTACAGCATATCATGCGTCTTTTCCAATATCAATATCACTCTTTTCTTTCAGAATAAAACAAACCTCCATCTTTGTTGAAACAGTAATTAGGATCACAGGAAACGCTCATTCTGCCATTGCCTCACACACCCAAACATCCCAAACACACGCACACACTGCACATTCTTTCATGCAAATGCTAAAAAATCACTGGTACTGTTGTGTTAAAGTGGGAGCAGCAGGTTCCACAGTTAGCCAACATGGGAGGTCCAAAAATGCACAGAATGAGCTAAAATATATAAATCACTTTCTGTGTGAGCGGACCGGGTGTTGAAATCAGTGTTTACTCCCCGACATCCACTCCCCCGTCTAGTTAAAGGGCTTCGACTTCAACACGACAATAAAAGCAACGCATCAAGACTAGAAATTAGTGGTAGCTGAATGTTCTGCATGCTCGCTGTTTCTAGCAAGAGATTTAGGAGTTATTTATAAAAAAAAACAAAGTTCAAAAGTTGATCAACAACCTCAACAATGGGCAGCATTGTTTCATGTCCTCCTGCAGATTACTAGTGTTGAAAACACGTTTTTAGACATTTCTTGTGAACCCCAGGATGGGTTTTGTCAAAATTTTCAGGGCATAGTCCCTGGATGTTTTGTCTGCCAGCAATACACTTTTGTAGTCAACCCAGGTCAAGATGGCCACCACAGCTACCCAGTAAAATAGCTACAAGTCAGTAAGCATTACAAACATCAGGCTACAATTTGGTGTGTTAGTAGCTGAGATTCACTTAATGGCAAATTTGGAGTCTTGCACATTAATATTCTTGATACATAGCTTGCTTCTGAATGGCTAACAACTCCACCACTGACTCTGTTTGCTCTCCACAATTAACACATGCCTGGAGGAGTTCTACTGTGTGGTGGAGTTGCTAATGCTAATGGTTAGCTTCTACTAGTCAAGGTGTGCTCACTCATGGATGCTAAATTAATAACAGCTTTCACAAGTCATAGTAGGTGAGTCCGTGAATACAAATTTACACAGTGATATAGATCAGCATGACATTTTCCTACCTGGTCATTTCCCCTATTTTCTTTCGCCGACTACTGTGGGCAATAGGGGTTGAAGACTACCCTCACCTTTCAGATATTCCCAATTTAGTCCTCAAACTGCTGTTTTTCCATTATCTTATAATCTGGCAAAAGACAAAAGAAGCAGACTTCCAGACACATTAATTTTTTCAGACTGGTACAAAGAGGGTTTGTTTCCAAGCTTCATGATGTCTAAGTTTATCTCAGATGTTTACAGCCCATCAGGACTGTCTGTGGGCATGGGGTTGTCTGTGTTTTATGACTTTTTAATTTGAAAAACAACTTAGATGTTGCTGAGTCATCGGCCCTGGTGGACATAAACAGCAGCTTGATCTGTTAACAGCTGCTCTGTTCGACCCTCTGATGTCGTTTCATCTCAGAGTCTAAAAACCAAGAAGGTCATCAACGTTCTCTTTGGATCCAAACAGGAAAGCTACATTTGTCTATGAAAGCTTCTGAATGTCCTCTAGAGCTGAAATGTGAGTCAAATATTTTAGTGTTGTTTAAATAATTTCTCTATCTTCCTTTTTTTCATCCTTAAATTCCCATGGGACATTCAGAGGTTTTCCCAAAGTAGAAGCCAAAAACACATCCATCAGTTTGTTGCTGTCCTCAACTCAAAGAACGTAAAAACCTTCTAGAGTCGAGTTTGTGATGATCATCGACCACGTTGGGCTTGTATAACAAGTGCATGGTATAAAATCTAACAACGTATCACATCCTTAGACATAAAAGTCGTTCCGAAGATGTGTTAACAGTGTGTGACTAACCAGCTGACCTGGAAGTGTGTGTGTGTTATGTTTATGTCTGTGCTTTTGCATGATTTCTTGTAGTTTGCAGATGGAGCCAGTTCAGCTATCATTAACCTCTCGGCCTCTAGTTCCAGTCTTCATGTAGGTAAAACATAATCATATTTAACTCATTTCACATTTTTTGCTCCTTTTTTTTTTCTCCATCCATTTATTTTTGACACATCTTTTATGTGCTTATTTAATCATTAATCTAATAAACTTTTAATGGAGCACAAATTTCAGCTTGGTGGATTATAAAGACAACATTAAATCTGAATCCTG